CTTAATGCCAACATTTGTAGGAGAATTAAAACTATTTTCCCCTTGTGTTTAATGTTGAAGCATTATTAATTTTTGTATTTTCATTAAATTCTGCTTGGTCGCATCTGAGGAGAACATTACAGATGGTCAATAACAGCTCCAAGGGTCTTCATGGAGTTACGTGAAGCTGAAAGTATAACACCTGGGGGTTTGTCATTAAGAGACTTTTCTTCTGGATGTGCAGAAAAAGGTGAAAACTATTTTGATGTTGTGTGTGTTTCATTCATTCGTTTGTTTAACAGAAAGCTTCCAGATGGCAAAGGAAGCCCAAATTGAGATTTATTTTTTTTGCTTTAATTATTATTATTATTTAAACAAGAAGGAAGTTTTCTTGTTACAGGGTGTCTACATCTTTAGGTATTTGAGGTTTACTTTTCTGTTCTCCTGAAACCAGATTCAAATGCACGCTGATCTTTTTGGGCCTTACAATCCTCCTTGGTTTTCTTTTTTCTGTGCTTTAATATTTATATTTTTTCAATCAGTGTCGTCTAGCTGTCTCCTAAAACCTCTTATTCATGTGGTTGCTTCTGTTTGCAACCACAAGCACTTCCTGACGTAGCATTCCTGGGCCCAGCCATCGCGCGCTCTCACTGCTGGTTCAGAGGGTGGTTAGGACTCCGGATTCCTCCTCGTCTGCACTTCTTTTCAAGAGCTGCTTTTGAGTCAGTGGCCTTGGCTTCTCCCCTCTTTGACTGAGAACAGCCCCTGGTTGTTTAGTGTAATCATAGCATTTTCACTGTCTGACAGTTATTGGTTCCGTATGAGGAATGTGCCTATATAAAATACGAACACATAGCCTTCGTATTCTAACTCCAGTAATTCAGTCTGCTTCAAATTCGTTCTACATTAAAAATACATCACGTTTTTCGAAAGATGTTTGCTCTAACATTTCAGTAGTAGGATGTAGCATTTCTGTGGAAGCTGAATTTTGTAACTCATGGCACTTTTAGAAAATTTTGACTTTTATCCCTGCTTCGAGCTGCAGGTTGTCTCAGGTAACTGAACAGATAGGAAGCTCCTGCTGTCACTGTCCCACAGGGGACAGTGCTCTGAGCAGTAAATCAGCCTGGCCAATACAATCACTGTCAGAAATGTGTTAGGAATAGTTTTATTCCTCCTTTCCTCACCAATAATAAACACCAGCTAACCATTTCTGCATCAACAAAAGGTAATTTTGAACTGAGTAAAGGACAGAACTCACTTGATATATCAAATATGTTTGTGTTTATACAGTTGGGAAAAGTGTTGGGTTTATACAATAGAAAGTGTTTATATACAGTAAGGATAGAAAGTTAGTTCTTAACCGCATCTTTCCCAAACTTGTGTGGTTTCTCTCTGAAGTCAGCCACAGTAATTATTTACCTGTAAGTAAACTGTACCATCACCCTGTGGATGAGAGATTTTTATGACCATTGGAAACTACTTCCACTAGGGGCTTTTTGTACAAGAGATTCAGTGCCAGTACATTGATTTTTCCCACACTGCAGTGACAGATGCAATGCAATATGACCGTCTTTTTCACAGGAGAGGAGACAAGAAGCACTGGAGCAGTGTGCCAAAGGCCCCATACAAGTCATAGATACAGATGGAATCAGGATAAAGTAAATCCCTCTGCCTGCTCCACTGACATGCATACATCCCGTAAAAGTACGATCTTTTTATAGTCTAAGTTATTTCTAAGGCATTATTAACAAAGGGAGAGCTGTTTAGTGAAGAATTGCTCTCATGGTACTCTCAAATTAGTATTATTAAAGAATGTATTCTTTACGATGCTATTTTGTATAGTATTACTGTACTTATACATATTTTAAGATGCTGTTATTTAGCGTTTTTCCATAACACATCGGTCACAGTACGATTGTTTGAAGATGGGCAACTTCACTTAACAAAAGCGATCAACTTTATTACTCCTTCAAAAAGGAAAACAAATTGGAGTTTACTCTCCAGGTGAACTTTATTACCCTAAGAACTAAGAAGTAAGGGAGAAGGTAAAAACTGATGAATAAATGATATCTTTTTTCCCCAGCATCTGTTAAAGATCAGTAACTGCATAACGATAAATAATTAATAAAATATTTAAGATATAACTGGATGTAAGGACAAGAAATCATAGTTGCTTATTGTGCATTCTTATTTTAAATATATAAGCCTAAAAATACATCTAAGTAAAAATAAAAATACTGCTAAGAATATAAAGTTGAGAGATGGACAGAAAGGGAGGCCGATATCTGGAGCTTTGAAAATCTCTTTTGTAATCTCTTTGGACTCTTAAAGACTCAAGGTTCATCCTGAACAAAGTTGTCAAGCGTGTTAAGATCACAGCACTGTGAAACACAAGCTACTATTGAACTGTTGTATTAATTAAGTCAGGTTTAGTTCAGTGTTTTTGTTTCTAGGGCGTGATTTCTATCAGAAGAAAAATATTTCACTGTCTTCTAAAATTAAGAAAATTTATAGATTATTGTCATGATGGATGCAGCAGTTTGAAATATTAACTGCACTGGAGTTTTCATTGTATCACTGGTAAACTATGCAGTATCTATGATCCATAAATGAGTATATTTTTGGTTAGGGATCTGCAGAGGAAGCCGTGTCACAGGCCTGTGCCAGCCACGCGTATTCCCAGTTTGCACTGGGATTTATCTCCTTTTCTGCACCTTTAAGCCCAGTTGCAAATTTTAGAAACCGTGCCTCAATCATTGACACTGCTGCAAAAATTGGCAGCTGCCTACACTGCAAATGAAGGTCTCTAGTTCTTCTCCATCCTTTCTGCCGGATGTTTTTGCTGCTTGGGAGAGGCTTGCCCTCATTAAGAAAGTAAGAGTAGTAAGTCCTGACATGTCCTGCTAGTTAGATCCCTTTTTAGGTTTGAGATCAGAACTAGAAGTAGCAACATCCTTCACTCAGGCATCTTGAGGAAGAACCTGTGTTTCAGTTGTAGCCCCCAGTTCACTTCAGACCACGTTTACAGGCTATGGCATTGCTACCTTAATAGAAATTTAATCTTCATCACTTTTAAACATCTTTGTCTCAAAAAAACAAAACCCCAGGAAAGTTTGTTTCATATCATATGAGTTTATAATCAGAATCAGCTTTGCTGCGAAAACCTTGTAATGAGACTTTAAAAACTATGTTGACAGGAGAAGAAATATGTAAGTTACTAAAAGGTTATGAACAAGGTTGTGATCATGACTCATGCAGCTCTTTTTACCTTGTATTTTTTCACCTCAGTTTAGCTCTTTCGTTTAGTTACTTAAAATAGGAGGAGTGATTTTTTGAGCAATTATTTCTACCTGTCTCTTTGCTGTCTGACACTTTGGTCAAGCTGTTGCCAGGTGCTGTTGCTCTTGTAGGGACAAGGAATAAGTGGCACGAG